CACCACTAGCACGTGCATCGCACGTACGTCTGACTAGTTATTAAAAAATGACATACAGTATCACTTTTATTAAAATTTAATGTTTTTCACTAAAAATGTGATAGAAATCAAGAAGGTGACTGAAAAAAGTGATAAACATTAAAAAAAAGTGACAAAATTCAAAAAAGTGACGAATTCAAAAAAGTGGCACAAATTAAAAAAAGTCATACTGATTAAAAATTGATAGACATTCTTAGTCAAACATGCACAAATAACACCACTACAACAACCAAACTTCCTGCTGTGAACTAGCAGGGATGGGAAGGTTATAGACGGGAAATAGTTCGATATTTGTTCTTACACCCAAGTTGAAGATAAATAGAAGATGAGGTTTACTCCCCCAAAATCTCATACTAATTTAGCTTACAGAACGAGACAAATGCATCAACTGCTTCAACCATAAAGCACCATCTAGGATTATTGGCTCATGCAATTGTACAGAAATGTTATAGTAACCAAATTGTGCGTCAGAAAGCTCTTTATCGCAAGAACTGACCCCTAAGTTAAGGCTTAGGGGGTGGCGATCTGCTGATGCTGCTATTACTATGGCTCCTTCCTCTAATCAGCCTGAAAGAACAAGCACAAATTATACAATAAATGAGTAAGACAAAGCAACAAGCAATCCTCAAATAGAACGACCCCAAATTTTTGAAAAAGTTGTCTTAATAAATGCTAATAATCACTAGAATAATTGCAATTAATGAAATCCATTTAACTTTCATAAAACACGTTAAATGTATTTCATTCTTGGTTAAGAAAAATAATTCACAGCAAAAGATTTCACCAGGACAACCTCCGCCAAATGCAGGACAACCTGCAATGGCTACTAAATAGCCTCCTCTCACTTTCTCAGCTACAAAGCCTCTGATATTTGAATTTGTTCTCCAAATCTTGGTCAATTCCATCCAGGCTCCATTTTTTCTGAACCTTTGTTGAAGGAGAAGCGGCATCTCGACTCGGAATTGGTGGGTGGCGTGTTTGTGGTCTCCGTATTCAGTGGGCAAGGAGATTTTGGAGTTTGTTTCAGTTTATGGCGTAATTAATACGTGATTTATGT